AACTAATCGGTCGTCTTGGGAGGGGGTCCGTCAAGCCAGGAGCTTTGTAGGCGCTGTGCGGAGATGAGACCCAAACCGAAGTTTCGGCGATTCGTAGCCACCTGCTGCGTGCACTCCTTGACGTAATATCCCTCCTCAACAGCCCAAGAGTCGCTTGAGTGCGTGGCCGAAAGGCCTTCGCTCGCGATGCGCCGCTTCCGTTCTTGCTTCAGTCGGGTGCTGAGCCAACGCCAGGTTGTCACGACCCCTCGTGAGTCCACGTCCGAGATGTCGTGGAACAGCAGGAAGCGGCACCGGGGCTGGAAATAGCGCACGTCCGCAACCACATGCCTGTGACACCAGATAAAAGGTGAGGGTGAGGTGACTCTCGCGCAAGTGTGGGGTAGCGGATTGACCCAAGGGAGCGGCTCACCGGAAACCATGAGCAGCATCGATAAAGCACAGGTCGATCTTGTGGTGGCGCCACGAGTGAAGTTGCGGCGGAGCTCCCTCCGCTGTCGGAAGGTCCGCGGAGAGAGTCCATCCGAAGGTCTCCGCCAGGCTCTGGCTGTACCAGGCCGCAGCTGCGGCTGCAGTTTCGTTCTCAACGAGCTTGAGCACATTCTTACCACTGCGTGGCGCCAAGTAGAAGTTGTGTCCGTACCCACCCATCAGCCCCTTCACGCACGGCGTGCGTAAGTCATAAACGTCAAAGCTCGCAGAGGCAAAGCGCTTCCGGTTGGTCTTGCTGAGGCTGTGAGGGCTGCCTGGGAGGCTGGATTCGAAGAGCCTGCGGGCAAATACAGCGAAGAACAGGCCCGTCCATCCGTACCATGCTCCGACTTCGATGAATGTGCGCACACGCGTGGGCAAGCTGGCCAGTCCGCTCAGTAGACAGCCCACCTGCTCCGGCAGCTGATACATCCCGTATCCGTCCCTCTGGTGCATCCACCGCCCTTCGCACTCAGGAGCACAGCCTTTTCCAATCGGCCAACCATACAGCGGGCGTCTGAGATCGCGCACCAGTCCAACCTCGCGGACAAGGTTTGCAATCACGGTGTGGTTGCCCAGATGCTCCGCTGGCAACCGGCTCAACCGGTCGAGAACCACGGCAAATGTTTGCTCCTCTGGCTGCTGTTCACACTCGAGCGACACGGCCTCCTTACTCCTGCGGATGGCGTTGTGGTTGAGGAGGGGTGCCTGCACGGCGGCGTGAATCGTTGCCGAGAGCAGCGATTGAGACATCGGGCGAGGGTGCGCGCGCAGCGCGCCGCGGGCGGCGTGGAAGCGCCGCCGGAGATCGTCTGGCCGTGGAGGATGTGGGGGGAACTCAGAGTTCTCGCCCAAAACAAATTGTTCTTGCCGCAAGAATTTTACAACAAAACTCCCTCGCACGACACTGGGCACAGGACTGGGCACGGGACTGGCTCGCACTGGCACTAACACAGGTACACCACGGGAGCCGCCTAAGCGACTCCTGCGAGGGTGGCGAGGCACTTAGCTCCGTGCACCCGCCCACCCCCGCCACAGGCAAGCTCATTCACAATCTGCTCTGCGATTGCCGTGTGAAGAACGACTGAGATGCGCTGCTTCTGCAGCCCCAGCCAGCTCTTGGTGGTCCAAGTCACCTCATCGAGGTACAGTCAAGTGTGAACAGCAGCTCCTTGAGCACTTGAGCACTGGATAGGGTCGATTCCGCATGGTACGGGACAGCTCCTGAGCACGGCGCCGCAGGCGCCTGTTGATAGGTCCAGGTGATAGCCCTGGATGGGCAATGCATTCGCCTACCTGGGCCTCAGATCGCCCGACCGCGTCCCGGTGCTCTGCGTTCGGATTTGTGACGCCGCCGCACCGCGCCGCGGCCGGGCGGGGGCCCGCCGGAGGACGAGGATGGCCGTGACGGACCGGGACGAGCTCCGGGAGGTTCAGTGTCAGTGAGTCGAGCGACACACAGACACAAACAGGCTCACAAGACACACAGCCAGCGGGCTGCCACACATCCTGAGTGGGCGTACACATCACTCAGGCCACGTCCCCCCTGTCGCCCCCCCCAGCACTCCAAGGTGCCAAGAGACAAACAACAGCACAACAACACAGACAGGCGACAGGGGCGAACGTGTGAGACTACTCCCTTAATGTTGGTAAACGAAAGTAGCGTATACGCTACTATGAAAGAAGAAGCCGAAAAAAGACGCCGGAGTCAGTCCGCCCGAGCCAGCCAGCTGCCGGCTCGCACGGCAGCCTCTTCCTCTCGACCAGCCTCAACTTCCGTACAGTCAGCATTTTGTCGCTGCGTGCTCGTGGCCAGCTGTGGCGGCGGTCGAAGTTCGCCCAGGTTCGGTGACGAGCGCCAGACGATAGTAGTGTCTCTGTTCGCCCTGTGCATGTCAGGCCAGGCTGCAGCAGGGCACTACCATCGTGCTGCCCTGTTGCAGCCTGACTTTGCCCACTGTGCACAGTCGCCAGAGCACCACCACCGCCCGGCATCGTGTCACGGCGAGCTCCTTCTGCGCCCGCTCGCGAGGCTCTCGCGCTGGCACACTTTGGCCATCTGCTGCTCGCGTTCGGCGAGCTCATCTCCGCACTCCTGCCACGGTGCCGTCACCACACACCTTCTGGCCGGCCTGAGCCGCGCGGGGTCGCCAGCGGGGGCAACGCGTCGACCTCTCTCTCTGGTGCACCACGGGCCGCAACGGCCTGCTAGCAGCGTGCGCGAGGAGGCAGTGTGCCGGCACAGTCGAGCCGGAGCATCGGGTTCTTGATGCTTGTGGGGTCAAGTCTGACCTTATGCGGCCTAATATGCAATAATAATGCTATGCTCTCACCCAGTCTTTTGAGATATTATCCCTCAAAGTCGAATTTTCGTTTACTGGTGACCATAGTAGTGTCTGTCTTGTTTGCGAGATCTTCAAACGAATCCTTTAAAGTCTCGACAATCACTAAGCTGCTTATGTGGCACCGCAGAGGCTCCCTTGGGGATGCCTGAGGCCACCCCAACCACTCACTAGGCCGTACGTGGACGAATTGGCCGCTACTTTTTTCGTTTACCTACATTAAGGGAGTAGAGCAGGCTTGCTCCGGCCTTCGCCTCTAGCAATCTCGTCGCCAGCCGCAAGGCACCACCGGCCCGATAGAATGCGATTAAAGGGACAGCAGGTCCCGACAGATTGACAGCAGGTGTTGCGAAAAATCTCTCTCTAAGGAAGGAAAAGGGAGGGCGGAAAAAAATCGGTGGGCGGGCGCGCGGTGCGGCATGGCGTGTGCGTGTGCGTGACTGCAACGAAGGACCGCTCGCAGAAGACCATTGGGTTTGTACTATTAACAACGAAGGCGCTCAAAAAAAATCGACGCCTCGTCCGTGACAGCAATCGCGGCGGTCTTGATCGCGGCGCGTGAAGGATTGACCCAAAGCGCGCTTCTCCTCTTGCCAATGAGCGCCGCCGTCGTCGTCCTCAGCACGGCCGCGGCCACACAGCGGTTTATCATCTCATGCCCCATAGCTTTCGTCAACCTCTCTCTTCCTCTCGTCTCTCTTGCACACGCTGGCGGTGAGTGCACGCTGGCGATCGACAGATTGGTGAACCCTTCTCAAGTCCCAAGGCCAGAGTTTGTCAAGAACGTGGCGCCGACTGCGGTGACCACCCCTTGCAAGACCCTTGAGGCGTCGACCATCGACGTCCTCGCCCCGCTCGATGCGTCAAGGACCAAGGCGGCGCTCGGCGGGCGAGTTGGAGGAGCGGAGCAGCACTGCCTGCTCCTCCAGAGTGAACGGGCCATCAATCAGCCTCTCGGCACCTCGCTGAGGAACTCAGCGTGGCCTACGGAGGTCCGCTCCACTCGGATCGCCGACCCCAAGATCTTCGAAGCGGCGGTGCCCACGCCGATCGGATGGCCGATCGGATGGTCGAAGAGCTCGCGGACGGATGGCGACCCGGCAAGCTCCTGCACCGATGACTCGTCTCCGTGGCTCGGGAAGGCACGCCCGCGACTCGACCCATCCCTCTGCTCCACCCTTCTCCACACTGCGCTGCCTAGCATGCTTTTGTTGGTGCCAGGTGAGCGTCCATCCCGAGGACACAGCGGGCCGCTCAAAGGAGATTCACAACCGGCGTGAGGGCCCAGCGCTCCGACTTTTGCTGCTGTCGATCGTGGGCTCTTGGCTACTCCTCGCTGCGTGTTGCAGCTGCGTTGTAGCGCGTTGCTGCCAGCCCTGGCGAAGAGAGAATGGGCGAAACGGGTTCTTTTTTTTGAGCTTAGCCTTCGATGTTATGAAACAACGCAAGGCGGACATGGCATATCGCTCTCGGGCCCACAGACATCCCTCACACCCGCCGCACACCCGCCGCCCCCGCGCGCGCCCCACCCCGGCCGGGAGAAAGGGGAGTGACAGTTTGGGATGAGTAAGCCCGAGTATGTTGAGTCCTGGCTCAACAACGCAGATAACAAGAGGGGGTGGTCCGGCTCACAGGTCCGGCTCACGCGCCTCGAGCTTACCATCTACCGCACTGAGCACTTCCGCCCCCTCGCTCCCAACCCATCCACCCCGCCCCGGGCCGCGCCGCGCGATCTCGGGCGATCTCGCGCTATCTCGGGCGATCTCGGGGCCGCGCCGCGCTATCTCGGGCGATCTCGCGCTATCTCGGGCTATCTCGGGGCCGCGCCGCGCTATCTCGGGCGATCTCGGAGCGTCGCTCGCGCGGCGTCACACCTGCTCAAAAAGGAAGTAGGTTGGAGGCAGGAGGTCACGCCCCATCCAGAGCGCCGTCGTCGCCGGGTTTTTGGCCCCCGGGTCGTCGACCGACGGTTGCTGCGCGGGGCAGCAGACCATCGGACGGCGCGACGACGCCCCGTCCGGCACGCTCCCCCCTCCACTCGGCTATTGCCGCACGAGCGCCCTCAGCGGCGGAATTTTTCCCTCGCGCTTCCTTGGGCCCCCGGCAACGCCGACGGACTTCCCGTCCCCCCACCTGCGCCGCAATCACCGCCGTGATTGTCGGCGCTGCGCCCCTTGGCGCCTGTGCATGTCCCGCGTGCCCGCCCGCCAAGGCTGGTGCCAAGGCCAACTCAACTGCCAAGGCTGGTGCCAGGGCCAAATCAACTGCCTGGCTGGTGCCAAGGCTCAAAGGCTCTCGTCTCTCTCTCCTCCCTCTCTCCCTCCCTCCCTCCCTCCCTCTCACCCCCCCCCTCTTCTCTCCTCTCCCCCTCCCCCTCTCTCCTCTCTCCTCATCTATCCTCTCCTCTCCTGTCCTCTTACCGTCCTTTACTCTTTCCTCCTGTCCTCTCCCCCCCCCTCTCCCCCAGCAGCTTCCTCGAGGCCGAACAGGTAGATCCTCCCTGATCGCTAAGCTACCACAGGGGACGGCCAGGTAGTAGACGTCGTCCGCCGCCGCCTCCGCCGCCCGCGTGCCTCCGCCCCGCGCAGCAAAAAATCAGCATTATATCAGGAGGTGCCAAAGCCGCAGTATCTCCATGAGGTGAGCGTCGTGCGTTTTGCCGCCGCGTGCCGCCGCTGCGCCGACTGGCTCCCGGTTCGAATCGTCCTTCGCGGAGCGAACGCGGCGACACGTGCGCACGTCGCGCGCGTGTGCGCCTGCGACAAGACGAGACGAGACGAGAAGAGAAGGAGAAGTAGTCGGTTGATGTTTTTGCTGCCGCGGCCGCGCCGCGAGCTCGCGTCTGTTTTGGCGCCGACGACGCGACGCGTCCCGCTGCGTGAGATGGCGCCGCCGCGGAGTCGGCGCCGCGATCAACCGCGCGCCAGCGGCGAGCGGCGCAGCGCGGCCACCATGCGGCGCGACGTGCCCGCCGACAGAGATCTTTTTTTTTCTCGAGGTTCTCGAGGTGGATATCCTTTGGCCGCGTTGGGTAGCGAGGATTGGTGTAACCCGTTCGGGTTAACCCTGGTAGGTGGATTGTCCAAAATACGTCAGCCTCGCACGCCTAGAGCTAGGTCTGACACCCGACCGCCCCCCCCTCCCTAATATTAACCGGCGAGAGCACATTTTGGCCGGCTAATGTTAGGGAGGGGAGGCCGAAAAACGCAGACTTTTGTCCACCTACCAGGGTTAACCCTTTTGCTTCATAAGGGTCCTGAGGACCCAATCTCGATATATCTCGCACGCCTAGAGCTAGGTCTGCTGGCCCACTTCTGGCCTGCCTCCTGCCAGGGGAGAGAATATTCTTGGAGGTCCACCTTCAAGCCCTGATAAATGAAAAACCCCGTGCCGCGCCGCGCCGCGCCCTCACCGGAAACTCGAGCGAGCCCAAGCAGCGCCGGGACGCCGACCCGCGGCCGCATGCAGACTGCCTGCTCGCCTGCTCGACCTAGGTGTTAGATATGTATCCAGTGTATCCAGAACTTGGGTGGATACACAGTCCAGTGTATCTAGTGTATCTCAACTCTCGGGAGCTGCCTACACACGCGCCCTCTCCGGCTCTCGCTCGCTCATGCCTATCTAGGAGAACCAAACCTCAGCCATCAGGTTGCTCACTTTCTTCCTTTGATCCGTCAGTGTCCTCATCCGACTCCCAACGCTCCACGTCTGCGCTCCACCCTGCATCTTGCATGCGCAACTGCACATGCATCGCTTCGTGGCACAGCTTGTCCGCGGTGCCGTGAGACATGCGAGATTTGTGGGCGCCCTGGATCTGGCCATAGACTGACCAGTTGCGCTCGGCGGCGGAAGCGGCGGCGGCCTGCGCGAGCACACGCGGTGCAATGGCCGACAGCAGCGGCAAGTGCTTGCCATACATCCCCCACCACGCTGCCGGCTCCATGTTCTTCGCGTTCTCGAGGACCGACGGCCGGCTGAAGACACCGTCGCGGCGCTGGTAGACGGCAAACTCACGCTCGGCCTGCGCCACACGCGCGACGACCCCGGGGCTTGTAGTCGTGAGCTCGCGCCACGCCTGCTCCGGGTTGGCCGACGCCATGATCTCGTCTCGAAGGCACAGGCGCTCGAAGACGATCATCAGCCCCCTCCATCGTCTTCGAAACCGGAGGCTGTGTATCTCACTGTGTATCCACTGTGTATCCAGACTGAGTGTGGATTCACGTGTATCCTGTGTGTCCAACGGTGTGTGTCTAACACCTAGGCTGCTCGACCCGCGTTGTGACCGGGCGGGGCGCGGCCGTGGCGAGCCGGCGAGTCTTGCCGAGCGCGCGTCGGATGCGCCCGTGGCCGTTGCATGGATGCTGCCGCATGTGGGCCCCCGTGACCCGCTCATGTGTGACACAGTGCGCATGTTGGCAGCGCGATCTCGCTCTGAGCCTAGCCTAAGTGCATTGAGGGGTTCGGTTGTGTCTGTGTTGTGTTCTTTGTGTGTCTCTATTGTTCGTCCGTCGGTCTGTGTGTTGTGCGCTTGCCATGTACAGGGAAAAATCTCATGACTGCATGCATGTGCCCACACGCCACATACACACGTAGGTTCTTGTTGGCAGTGTGCGCTAATCCACACCCTTGTGCGCGTGCCACGGGGCCACAACCTTACAGCGCCGGTTTGGGTGTGACGTGTGTGACGGCGGCACGGCGCGGATCACAACTCCTGCGAGCGCACAGGCAATTCTACAATCGCAACCACACTTCCGAGCTCGCCCTCACTTGGTGACGGGCCCCTTGCGGCTCACCAGAGAGAACCTCGACCTCTTGGGCTGTCGCAGCTGGATCTGCAACTCCGCTAGCTGCTTCTCAAGCGAATCCAGCCTCTGTTGTTGTTGCTGCTGCGGTTCCTTCTCCTGGTTTCGCAGCTCCGATAGCTCAGCTGCCACCGATGCCACGGCCGCCTTGGCCGCCGCCGCCGCCGCCGCCGCCGCCGCCACCTCCACCGCCCCTGCCGTCGACACCACGGCGTGTGGCATCTGTTGCTCCCCGCTCGAAGCACCTGCTGCCGCGGTTGCGGCCGGAGCCGACGACGACAGCTCGAGCGCCTGTTGAGAAAGCTCATCGCGCCACTGCTCCTCCTCGCGCCGCTCCGTGTGCAGCTGTGGCGGTTCCTTCTTCTGGGTTTGCAACTCCGATAGCTGCTTCTCATGCGAATCCAGCCTCTGTTGCTGCTGCTGCTGCTTCGCTGCTAACTCAGCTGCCACCGATGCCACGGCCGCCTTAGCAGCCGCCGCCACCTCTGCCACCGCCTCCTCCACCGCCCCTGCCGTCGACACCACGGCGTGTGCCTCCTGCTGCCCCCCGCTCGAAGCACCTGCTGCCGGTGCCGGAGCCGGTGCCGATGGCAGGGTCTCTGTGGCGGTAGGTGCGGCGGCGACGGCGGTAGGTCCAAAGAAGAAACTCCAGGGCCACGTGGCGGTGACAGCGGCGTCGGTGGTGGTGGGGGCGGCGGGGTTGGGTGCGGCGGCGGCGGCAGCGGCGACCGGGCCCTGCGAGCGCAGCTCCTCCGCCTCACGCTGGTACCGGCCTGCCGACGACGACAGCGCCTGTTTAAGGAGCTCATCGCCCCGCCGCTCCTCCGCGCGCCGCTCCTTGGCGCGAGCCTCGATGGCCGCCTTGACGGCGCTCGGGTCGGTCAGCGCCGTCCACACCGCCGTGCCGTCCTCGTCCGCGATCCGGCGCAGGCCAGCGAATCCCTTCTTCGCGTCGTGCTCCTCAAAGAAGCGCTGCAGCTCGCGTAGCGACGCGCCCCGCACCGACTTCTGCTCCTTGCTCGTGTCAGTGATCGCCTTGGCGTCCCGGTCCTTCACCACCTCTTCGTGCACGACGCTGAACTGCTCCACGGAGCTCTGCTGCTTGAGCAGAGCGACCGACTCGCGCGCGCCCGCCGCCCACGCCTCCGGCACAAGCGGGACGGGGTAGCCGAACATGCGCGCCACGCCCGCCGCGCCACTGAAGACAGACATGGCGCGCAGCCCGACCTGCATCACCGGCAGCAGCTTGGGCACTACGTCCGACGGCGTCTTGATCTCGATCGGGTAGTGGCCTGTGGGGTCGCGCACGGGCTCGCCCGTCAGCTCGTCGATGAGGTAGAGGTACATCGTCTTGCCCGTCACGAGGTCGCCAAGCCCCGCCTTGATCGTCTCGAAGGCGTCGCCGACCTTGCCGCCCGCCAAGTCCGAGCCGATGGTCTTCAGCCGGCAGAGCCACTTCATGCCGGTGTCGAGCGTGTCCACATACTCGCCACCCACGCCTGCCGAGTCCCCCGAGAAGGCGACGGATAAGTTGTCGTTGCCAAGCGTCACGCCGCTGCCGTCGGCGGCGATCTCCAGAAGCTTCGCCTTCTCCTCCTTGTTGAGCGCCTCCGGCAGCTTGTTGAGCACCACGATGAAGGTAGTGGGTATCGTCACCTCCGACGCCTCGAAAATGCCCTTCAGCAGCACGTCGCACGTGCGCCGCAACTCGCGCTTGTTCTCGATGCTGAGCTCCATGACGACGACGAGCATCTCCGTCTGCTTGCGCTGCTCCTCGCCCTGCCGCGCCTGCTCCTCCGCGATCCGCTGCAGCTGCTCAAGCACCTCCTTCTGCGGCGCAACGTGGCCACCGTCCCTCCCCGTGCGGAAGAAGACATGCTCGAGAGCATCCTTCACCGACAGCCGCGCCGACGGCTCGCGCTGCAGCAGCTTGCTGACGAGGTCACGAGCCGCCGGGTCGCCGACCTTCTCGAGCCGCTCGAGCACCACTCCCTGCTGCGTGCCCCACGCGTGCAGCGTGCGCATCGCCGCCCCCGAGGCGCAGTCGTCGTCGGCCGTGGCGATGACGAACGGCTCGCGCGCGAGCAGCACAAAGGCGAGCACGCCGAGCGACCACGCGTCGATCTTCTCCGACGCGTGCACCAGCTCCTCCGAGTACGGCAGGCCGTCGAAGATGGGCTCGCCGCCACGCGCCGTGCGGAACGACTTCACGGCGTAAATCGACTTGACCACGCCCCGCTCGGAGAACGACTTCGGCGCCACCTTGGCCTGCAGCTCCTTGCTCTCCCCCTGCCAGTACGCCTCGAGCGCCTCCGCCTCGCCCTGCTTGAGTTCGTAAAACATCTCGGGCGGCAGCACGCCCGAGGAGAACTTGGCGCCGGCGTATGACTCGCCCTCGCCACCCACTGGCACGATCTTCGCGGCGGCGTCGAGGTCGATGAGGCGCAGCCGGTTGTCGCGTCGGAAGCGGACCACGTTGAGTAGCTTGAGGTCGCCGTGCATCAGACCCTTCGCGTGCAAGTGCGCCACCGCCTCGAAGACCTGCTGCAGGATGGCGCGCACGCCGTTGAGGTCGGGCCGCTCCTGCAGGAAGATCTGCTGCAGGTTGCGGTCGGCGGCGTCCATGATGATGGCGCGCGTGCCCAAGCTGATGCCCTTCGGCAGGTACTGCTTAGCGATGGCGCCGAGGCCGCCGCCGCCCGCTTCCACCGCCGCCGCGATCGCCTTGTCGGACGGCACGCCGGGAAGCTGCTGCACGACGAAGCGCGAGTCGAGCTCGTTCTCCGCGCGCGCGTCCCGCTCGCGCTCCCACTGCTCCTTCTCCTGCATCAGCTTGATCACGACCGAGCGCTGGCCGTCGCCGAGCTGCTGCTTGCAGATGCCGACGAAGCTCGAGCGGTCGATGCTCTTGTCCTGCTCGGTGCGGAGGAACAGCTCGACGTCCAAGCCGATACTCGCCGCCACCGGGGCCAACTCCTTCCGATCGAGCGTGCCGCTCTTGTCCTTGTCCGCGTCGTCGAAGACTTTGCCGTAGTCGGTCTTCTCGCCGAGGTCGCGCGCGCGCAGCACGACGCTGGTCGCCGAGCGGTGCTCGGGTGCTCCGATGACGAGCTCGTAGCGGCCGCAGAAGAGCAGGTGCAAGTAGATGGCCTCGCGCGGCCCCGCCGTCGAAGCCTCGAGAGCGGTGCGCCCCTCCTCGTCCCGCACCTTGACCAGAGCGTGGATGTGGGCGCCGAAGCCGTGCCCTGGCGGGTCGTCAGACTTGGAGGCGAGGACCCGGCCGACGGCGGCGATGACGCGCTCGTCTGTGGAGGCGACGGCGTACGGCCAGCTGCCGGCGTGGTCGGCGGGGGCGCCAGTGTCGAGACGGAGTGGCATGTCCGCGGCCAGCAGCGCCAGCACCACCGCCTCAGACGCGCCGCTCGCGACGGCGCAGTGCAGCGGCAGCCTCTCGTCCTCGTCCTTCTCCTTGGCCGCCTCGGGGTGGGCCTGAAGGAGCGCCTCCACCACCGCCTCAGACGCGCCGCTCGAGACGGCGCAGTGCAGCGGCAGCCTCTCGCGGTTGTCCTTCTCCTTGGCCGCCTCGGGGTGGGCCTGCTGCAGCGCCGCCACCACCGCCTCAGACGCGCCGCTCGCGACGGCGCAGTGCAGCGGCAGCATCTCGCGGTTGTCCTTTTCCTTGGCCGCCTCGGGGTGGGCCTGAAGGAGCGCCGCCACCACCGCCTCAGACGCGCCGCTCGAGACGGCGCAGTGCAGCGGCAGCTTCTCGTCCTCGTCCTTCTCCTTGGCCGCCTCGGGGTAGGCGTGCAGCAGCGCCAGCACCACCGCCTCAGACGCGCCGCTCGAGACGGCGCAGTGCAGCGGCAGCCTCTCGCCGTCGTTGTCGTTCTCCTTAGCCGCCTCGGGGTAGGCGTATAGCAGCGCCAAGATCACATCTTCATTCACGACTGGCTTCAGCTTCAAGTCGCCGTCATTGTCCACGCCCCGGCTCACGACCATCTCGCGGCCCTCATAGATCACCTTCGCCCCAGCCTCCTTGGACTCGCCTTCGACCTCGGTCGCCTTGATCCAGTCGGTCTCTTGGCGGTCGATAGCGCAGTGCAACGGCAGCATCCCGCCCAAGCCCTTCTCCTTGGCCGCCTCGGGGTAGGCCCGCAGCAGCGCCGCCACCACCGCCTCCGACGTGCCGCTCGCGATGGCGTAGTGCAGCGGCAGCATTTTCTCCTCGTTCTTCTCCTTGGCCGCTCCTGGGCTCGCAGCGATAGCCGCCAGCACCTCGGCATCGGCGGCGCCGCGCTTCAGCGCGGCGAAGAGATCTAGGCTCTCCATGAATGCCGATCAGCAAGGTGCGGAAAGCGAACGTCGAGGGTTGGAGCGTGACAGCGCCTGGTGAGGGTTATTTTTTGTCAGTAAAGCGAACATACCCGAGGGTGAACTGCTGACAGGGTTTGCGATGAGGAGCGATCCGAACGTGGCATTCGGGTGATTAGATCACTACCGCCGTAACGCAAGAGCACTGCGACGCATCGGGCTCATGCTAGCATCCACACCTACCTCGCGGGCCGACGTTCTTTTTTGGAAAAGCGAGATGGGGCGGTGGAGGCTCAGGCAAGCTGGGCAACATAAAGAAAGAACAAGGTAAGGTAGGTAGGTAGGTAACCGGCTGCTGCCTGCCCAAGCTAGAAGGTCGAGGCAGCCTTGGCTGACAACCAGCGCGCCGTCGATGTGTCGACTGCCAAACCTGACGAGGCGCGGTGTTGTTGCGCGCGCGCGGTGTTGTTGACCTTGGCTCACCAGAGAACAACCTTTTCCGTACCCTCACGCCACATTGCACAACCCACCCCAACACGCCACCCGACCTCCGGCCACGAGTTGAGTTCCAGAGACACATTATCCCGGTCCAGAGAAAGACAACCCACCCCAACATTATCTTTAGCTCACCATTTATTGGCTTTAGAAATGTTTCAAAGAGACCGGGAAAAAGCTCGAGGGACGTCTCGTTTGCCGCCAAGCGCGCGGTCTACACCTCGCTCATCCTCTCCATCCTGCTCTATACGGGTGCGAGTGCTGGGCGCTCACCGAGCGCCTCCTCCACCGTCTCCGCGTCTTCCACGCACAGTGCGTGCGTGCGATGTGTCGTGTCACTCGCAAGCACGTGTGGGAGCACCACATCACGACTGGCGAACTCTGCGCCAGGCTAGGTCTCGACTTCATCGACTACTACATCGACCGACGCCGGCTGGGCTGGCTCGGGCATGTCAGCAGGATGGATTTCAATCGCCTACCTCGTCGCATGCTCTCATCGTGGGTGCCTCACGGCCGGCCGATCGGGTGCCCCAACATGACGTTTGGGCGCAGCATCCGCACCGCGCTCGACAAGTTCCACATCGACCGCTCGAGGTGGCCCGAGCTCGCCGCCGATCGCTCGGCCTGGCGCCAGGCGCTGGAGAACAGGCGCCCGCCCGACGCCTTCTTTGCCATGCCAGCGAGGGCTAGGCCGCCCTCCCCGCGCATTGCGCGCACTAAACCAGTGCGCTCATGCTTGGCGAGAACCAATGCAGCGATGGACAGCTCGCTACAGGCGCTCGCGGGGTCGTGAGTGGGGGTCCCCACCGCTGCCCCTCTGACTAAACTTTTGTCTGTGGTGATGCCTTTCCCTGAGAACGCACACAACGCCTCGTGTGTAATGCCCTGTGTTTCCGCGAGTGCGTGTGCCCCGTCGTCCATGCTAGGACGTGTGTAACACTGACTGACTGACTGACCGGGAAAGGTTTCAAGAAGTCAACGGGGCATCGGCTTGTTCCGTCCGTCATGATGCATGTATTTTCGGTGGGTCCCATGGCCGGGGGCGTTTGCCTTAATAAACTTAACAAGAAGATGCACCTGTGATATAGCTGTCCACCCCACGAATAGATGTAGGTTTATATGCCGAAGCCGCAGCACGCGTATTCGTGCCAATAGTTACCACTCTGACAGATTTAAAAATTCGTCTTCTCCTTTCGCCTGCGGGACGGGTGCCCGGGGGGCGACGGGGGCGGAGCAGGCGCCTGGCCAGGAGGATACGGCGGTGGGGAAGGTGGCGGCAACGGCAGCGGCTCCGGCGGCAGCGGCGTGTACTGCGCTTGGCCGCAAGCAGTCATCACGTGGCAGCGAGGACGGATCGCGACATGCAGCGGGGCGAAGCATGTAGCAGTCAGCGGTGGTGTCGAGTTGCACGCATGCGCACTCGGGCTCAGCGCTGCAGCTCTGCATGCACTGCTCCGGCGTGGCATACTGCAGGACAGCGCCGAGAGCGCGCGCTCGCACACGCCGCCCGAGAGCACTCCCACCCCCGCCGCCTCGCAAGCTCACAGGTTGATTTGAGGAGAAGCAGCTGGGGGAGGTCAAAGCGGGAGAAGGCGGCACGGCGGCGGCGGCGCGGCCCCCCCCCCATCCCCACGCCTCCGGGTCGTGCGTACCGCCTCCGGGCGCGAGTGTCCCCCCAGCGTCTGCTCCGGCAGTCGCTCCGGTAATCAGGCCGAGAGTACCAGGGAGGAGGGGAGAAGAGCCCAGGGTGGGGAGAGGAGAAGAGCCCAGGGAGGGGGGAGGAGAAGAGCCCAAGGCGGCCTCCCTCTCCCTCCCCTCCCACCGGGCCTCCCTCTCCCTCTCCTCCCACCGGGCCTCCCTCTCCCCCTCCTCCCGCCAAGCACCGACAGCCTCGAGGGGCCAGCCGCTGGAAGGGGCAAGCCAGCGGCACGAGGGCTTCAACCACACAGCTACCAAGGGAACGCGACCCACACAAAGCACCAAAGTTAGGCATACCCCCCGGCGCAGCGTCCCCCGCTATGTGTCGCCGTTTGTCGGGGCACGCTATCCTGTGCAGTCAGGGCAAGTGGGGGCGGGGCGGACAGCCCAGGAGCGTGCTCCTGGGATCTCTCTTCCCAATCCGGGGGTGCGTCGAACCTTCCCTCACCCTGTCGGAAGCGGCGTGCCGGTGGAGGCACGTCCGGCCGCCTCCGGGTTTTGGGAAGTAAAAGCGGATATATTACTTTTTACTAGGAGAGAAGCCACAACATGTAGGCAAGCCCCTCAAACACAGGGAGGGGGGAAGCGCGGACGCCGCACACACGTGACACGATCTCGTCATACAAACAGGCGAGGGAAGCGGCACGAGGGGCTGGAGGCCGCTAGCTCCGGAGGAACCAGCCCTCATGGATCAGACCGCCTCGCGCCTCCTCGGGGGGGGGTGGGGGGGGGGGGGGGGTCCTCCTTCCCATGCTGCTGCTGCTCTGGGCGCGGCCCCCTCGGGCGCTCTCGCGCCGGCCGCTCCCTCTACGCGGCGGCGGTGGAGAGCCCGGCGGGAGAGGCGCCGCCAAAGTGGGCATCGCGCATCTCGAGGAGCTCGTCGTAGTCGATCGTCTCCTTCTCGATCAGCCGCTCCGTCACCGCGTCCAGCAGCGCCTTGTTCTCGGTGAGCGTGTTCATGCAGTTCTCAAACGCGCGCGTCACAATCTCCTGCACCTGCTTGTCGATCTGCGCCTCCATGTCGGGCGACGCAACCTTGGGCTGCATCAGCCCGTTACCCTCCGGCGTCTCCCACGCCACGGGGCCGCCGCCGAGCTCGTCAAAGGCGAAACCCCACTGCGCAACCATCCGCCGCGCGATGCTGCGCACCTGTGGGTTCGGGGCCGGGGTGGGTAGGGGATCCCCGCGGCAGCCACGGTGAACCCATCCGCCGCGCGATGCTGCGCGCCTGCTGCAGGTCGCCCGACGCGCCCGTCGTCACCTCCTCCTCGCCAAAGGCAATCTCCTCCGCGACGCGGCCGCCGAGCGCGACGGCGAGCTGCGACTCGAGGTAGCGCTTCGAGTACATGCCGGACTCGAGCCGCTCCTCGGAGGGCGTGAAGAGGGTGAAGCCGCCCGCGCCTACGAGGAAGGGTCCGAGAAGCTTCGGGGCAAAGGCCGCGAACGAGCCGTGAGGCGGGGGGTGACGCCGGCGTCGCGCCGTTTGTGCGCGGGATGACCGTCACCTTTGTGACCAGGTCGTAGTCGGGCGAGAGGAGGCCCATGACCGCGTGGCCGGCCTCGTGGTAGGCGACGAGGCGCTGGCGGGCGGGGAAGGAGGTGCCCGTCGTCTTTTGCATCCCGACCGTCACGCGGTCAATCGCGTAGTCGACCTGGGGGAGATATGGCGAGATCTGGTTGAGATGTGGCGAGATATGGCGAGATATGGCGAGAGATGGGGGAGAGATGAGGTCGAGCCACGCCTGGGGGAGATATGGCGAGATATGGCTGAGATATGGCTAGGATATGGCGAGATATGGCGAGAGATGGGGGAGAGATGAGGTCGAGCCACGCCTGGGGGAGATATGGCGAGATCTGGCTGAGATATGGCGAGATATGGCGAGATATGGCGAGATGTGGGGAGGAGATGAGGTCGAGCCACGCCTGGGGGAGATATGGCGAGATATGGCTGAGATCTGGCGAGAGATGGACCTGCTCGTAGCCAATCTCGGTCGCGTCCTTGCGCGCCGCGACGATCGCCGCCTCGTTGAGCAGGTTTGCGAGCGACGCGCCCGAGAAGCCGGTGGTCCGCTTGGCGATGATGTTGAGGTCGAGCTCCGGGGCGAGCGGCTTGCCGCGCGCGTGCACCTGGTCGGGTTCGGGTACCGTGTGGGGTAGGGGAGGGTGGGTTCGGGTGCCGTGGGGTAGGGGAGGGGCGAGCCGCCGCTTGATCATGTGCACCTGGTCGGGTTCGGGTACCGTGTGGGGTAGGGGAGGGTGGGTTCGGGTGCCGTGTGGGGTAGGGGAGGGTGGGTTCGGGTACCGTGTGGGTAGGGGAGGGTGGGTTCGGGTGCCGTGTGGGGTAGGGGAGGGTGGGTTCGGGTGCCGTGGGGTAGGGGAGGGGCGAGCGGCGTGCCGCGCGCATGTGCCTTGAGATAGGGGAGAGAGGGGGAGAGAGGGGGAGAGAGGGGGAGAGGGGGGGGGGAGGGGGGGATAGGGGGAGATGCGGCTTGCCGCGCGCATCCACCTTGAGGATCTCGAGGCGGGATAGGGGGAGATGTGGGGAGAGGTGGGGAGAGGTGGGGAGATGTGGGGAGATGTGGGGAGATGTGGGGAGATGTGGGGAGATGTGGGGAGAGATGCACCTTGAGGATCTCGAGGCGGCCCTTGACGTCGGGCAAATCGACGGGCACGCGCCGGTCGAAGCGGCCCGGCCGCAGCAGCGCCGAGTCGAGCGTGTCCGCGCGGTTGGTCGCCGCGAGGACGATGACGCCGCTGTTTCCGTCGAAGCCGTCCATCTCGGTCAGGATCTGGTTGAGGGTCTGCTCACGCTCGTCGTTGCCTCCGCCGCCCATGCCACCGCCCTGGCCGCCCGCGCGCGCGCCGCCGATCGCGTCGATCTCGTCGATGAAGACGATGCAGGGCGCGTTCTTCTTCGCCTGCGGTGGCGGGATGTTGGCGAGATGTTGGCGAGATGTTGGCGAGATGTTGGCGAGATGTTGGCGAGGTGTGGCGACATGTACGGCGGTGGCGAGAAGTTGGCGAGATGTTGGCGAGGTGTGGCGACAGGTACGACACGTCATGTGACAGTGAGGGTACCCCGCCGTAAGCCTAAGCGCGTGTTCACTGAGCTCTCTCACGTCTCAGCGTTCTGTCTATGGTCCTCCAGGCGGGGCGTGGCGGGGCGTGGCGGGGCGTGGCGGGGTGTGGTGAGGAGCGAGGTGTGGCGGGGTGTTGGCGAGAAGTCTGGCGAGGCGTGGCGAGACGAGATCGGGGGAGAGTAGGCGAGGAGTGCTGCCTGCGAGAAGAGGTCGCGCACGCGCGACGCGCCGACGCCGACAAACATCTCGACAAACTCGGAGCCCGAGGCGGAGATGAAGGGGACGCCCGCCTAATACCATACCTCCAGAGTCTCGAATCCAGTGTGGGTTCAATCCCGTGGCGGTAGGGGACGCCCGCCTCCCCCGCGACGGCGCGCGCGAGCAGCGTCTTGCCCGTGCCGGGCGGACCCTCCATGATGGCGCCTGAGCCACGCGGGACGACGGCGCGTCAGTCGAGAGGGCGGAGGCGAGGGCGGCGGCGGGGCGGGCGGCGGCGGCGGCGGCGGCGGCGGCGGCGGCGGCGGCGGCGGGGCGGGCGGAGGCGAGGGCGGAGGCGAGGGCGGCGGCAGCGGCGGCGGGTGTGAGGGCGGCGGCGGCGAGGGCGGAGGTGCGGAGGTGCGGTGGTGCAAGTGGCGGCGGGGCCGCGCGCACCGCGCGGGATCTTTGCGCCGAGTGCAGAGTACTTAGCAGGGTTCTTGAGGAACTCGACGATCTCGGTGAGCTCGAGCTTGGAGCCGTCGCAGCCCGCCACGTCCTCGAACGTCACGCCCGTGTTTGGCTCCATCTGGATCTGCGACTTGGACTTTCCGATTGCGCCCGGCCCGCCCATGCCGCCGCCCGGCCCGCCCATGCCGCCACCGCGCGAGGCGAGGACGTTGAGGCCGATGAGGAGGATGAGCGGCAGGAAGTTGATCAGCACGCCGCCAAACGTCCCCAGCGCCGAGAAGAGCGGGTTCGCCTCGGGACGCGGCACCACCGCAAACTGCACGTTGTGCTTGCGCAGCTGCGCGACGAGCTCCGCGTCGCCGCCGGGAAAGACCTGGACCTGGTGGTCGCCCTTGTCGTCAAAGGCGACCACCTTGGTCCCGTCCTCCGAGAAGGCCACCTTGGCCACCTCGTCCGCGTTGACGCGGTCGAGCAGCGTCGAGTACGGCCACGGCTCGGCCGCAGACGCGGCCTGGACGCCGACGGTGGCCGCGATGGCCGCTGCGATATGGGAAGGGGGAGCGGCGGTGAGCGGGCCGCGAGCGTCCGGGCGGGCGGGAGGGGGGCGGGCGCGCGGCGCGGCGCGGCGCGCAAGGGTGAAGAGGTGGGCTGCGCCACCCCCGATTCCCTAACGAGAGGCTGCGGCGCGGCGCGGCCGGCGCGCCTGCTGCGAGCCCGTTCCGGAGGTCGGAGGCGGCGCTCATGACGACGGGCTGGGGCGCCCGCAGGCCCGGCCGGTGCACCACCGGCGTGGCGCCGCCGAACGCGAGCGCGGCCGAAGAGAAGGCGAGGGACATGGCGGCCAGCTCTCTCTCAGCGATGTCGAGGAGATTTCGCGGAGTTTACTTTGCGAGAAAAAAATGTAAACTCGCGTGGGTTAAAATCCCTGTGTGGTGGCGGCGTGCCGTCCTCCCATCCCTCCCTTCCTTGTCACTTCCTCCTCTGTCGCCTCGTTCTCTTCTGCCTCGTCCTGCGACGCCGCCGCCTGCCGGTCCCTTGTTCTCGCGGCTTCTTCCCCCACTCATTGACCCGTAAATTTCTTTTTCTCGCGATGTCCACCCCTTCGCGCCGCCGCTCGCGCCGCCTCGCCTCCGCCGCCACCGCCGCGCCCGCGCGAGACACACCGCCGCCCACCCGCCTCCTCGACCTCCCCACGGAGCTCCTCGTGCGCGTCGTCTCTCGCTGCGACCCCGCCGACATCGCTCGCGCCGCGGCCGTCTCCCTCCTCTTTCACGCCTCGCTTGCGGTGGAGGGCATCCGCTTGTGGGCGCAAGAGCGCGGCTTCGAGCTGCCGGCGCATCCAGAGGGCGAAGGCTGCGCCGTGCGGTGGCTGTGCTATTCGGCGCTGCTGTGCGAGTCCAACCCGCCGGCGAGGGCGGCGGCAGACCGTCAGCACAGCGTTTTCATCGACGGCGAGGGGCGGCTCTTGTCGTGCGGCAAGGCTGAGAGCTGGATGCCGGGACTGCTCGGGCACGGCGAGGGCGTGACGCGGCTCAACACGCCGACGCGCCTCCCGTCGACGCTGGGTGAGCGCGCTGTGAGCGTGGCGGCTGGAGGCGGGCACAGCCTCGCCCTCACCGCTGACGGCTCTGTCTGGAGCTGGGGCGTTGGAGAATGGGGACGGTTGGGCCACGGTGACGAGGAGGAGCAGTGGCAGCCGAAGCAGATCGAGGCCTTTGCTGGCAGACGCGTCGTCGCTGTGTCGGCTGGAGGCTACCACAACCTCATCCTCACCGCCGACGGAGAGGTTTGGAGCTGGGGCGATGGTCTCTATGGCCGGCTGGGCCACGGCAACCTGCAGAACCAGCTGCTGCCAAAGAAGGTCGAGGCCTTGGCTGGCCAGCGCGTCGTCGCCGTGTCGGCTGGAGACGCCCACAGCCTCGCCATCACTGCCGACGGCGCCGTCTGGAGCTGGGGCGCTGGAGGCTATGGCCGGTTGGGCCACGGCGACCAGCAGAGGCAGCTGCTGCCAAAGAAGATCGAGGCCTTGGCGCAGCGCGTCGTCGCTGTGTCGGCTGGATTTGATTACAGCCTCGCAATCATCGCCGACGGCAGCCTCTGGAGCTGGGGCTGGGGAGGCAATGGCAAGCTGGGTCACGGCGACGAGCAGCGGCAGCTGCTGCCAGAAAAGATCGAGGCCTTTGCTGGTCGGCGCGTTGTCGCCGTGTCGGCTGGAGGCGCCCACAGCCTCTCCATCACTGCCGATGGCGCCGTCTGGAGCTGGGGCGCTGGAGGCTATGGCCGGTTGGGCCACGGCGACCAGCAGAGGCAGCTGCTGCCGAAGAGGGTCGAGGCCTTCGCTGGGCAGCGCGTGGCCGCTGTCTCGGCTGGGACCCATAGCCTCGCCCTCACCGCCGATGGATCTGTCTGGACGGGGGCGGCGGGTTCTATGGCCAGCTGGGCCACGGCGACCGAGAGCACCAGTTCGCGCCCAAGAAGATCGAGATGTGGGCGAGCCGGCCGCCGACGCCTGCTTCCTCTGACGGAGAGGACAGCAGCCTGCTCGCGAGCAGCGGCGGGGAGGACAGCGACTAGGGTAGCAACTCGGACGAGTGGGACTGCTAGAGGGCAGCAGAGGAGCGCGAGTAGTCTTTCTTTCCTATTCCCAACTTTAGGTTGCGCACGTCTCCCAGCGAGCTAGGAACCTAGGATCTCCGCTTTTTCTCCCCTAGTTTTGCTCGTAGCCGCCCGTCCCCCGCCGCCCGCCCGCACGCACACTCGCGCTCCGCTCGCGCCCGCTCACTGCCGCTCCCCCCCCCCCCCCCCCCACACACACACACACTCGCAGCGGCCATCCGGCACCCAAGGCCAAAAAAGAATTTTACAACAAAACTCCCTCGCACAACACTGGGCACGGGACTGGCGCGCACTGGCACTAATTGTGCCAAAAGAAAAAAGGTTGAGGTCGTGCGTGCGTCCCTCCTCCTGAAGGAGTGCCGGCGGTGCCAGCTCGGAAGCCGACGCCTCGCGCTCTAACGGCCCAGCCGGCTCGGCAGGCCGACGCCTCGCGCTGGCTGTGCAGGCCGACGCCTCGCGCACGGATCACCGGCCAAGCCTGCCAGCAGGTGCGCGCCGTGGAGGGAACATCCGCCGATGTCCGAGCCTCCGAGCCTCCGCACCTCTCTCGTCGCCGACGCCGAGCTCCCATCCGTGCCCTCTGAGTCCAGCCTCCCGGACGGGAGCAGAGCGATGAGGCGCTCTTCCTGGAAGGTGGCGGTCGACGTTCCGCCCGAGGCGCCTCCGGCCACCAGGCCGCCCGAGCAGAAGAAGTGGCAGGCGGCGGCGACAGGGCAGCACGGCGCGGCGCCTTCGTGGAGGCAGTTCCTCTCCCTCTGCCTCGGCGCGACCGGAGTCGTCTTTGGCGACATCGGGACCAGTCCGCTCTACACCTTTGGCGGCATCTACCTCGAGCTCGGCATCGACGCGCTCGCCGCTGCGGACCAGCAGATGCGCGAGGACGAGCTGACGGGCATCTTCTCCTCCATCTTTTGGGTGATTGCGGTCGTCGTCTGCTTCAAGTATGGCGTCATCGTCATGCAAATCGACCACAACGGCGAGGGCATAGCGAGGAGCTCTGCCGTGGCGGATGCACGTGCCGGGGGCTCGACAGCTCCTGTTTTGGTGTTTGTAGGCGAGGGCGGCTCGCTCGCGCTGATGCAGGTGGTGCTGCGCGCCGTCGGCACAAGGGCGGCCGAGCCGCGGCTGGTTGGCTTCACCGCGGCCCTCGGCATGATTGGCACCTCGCTGCTCATTGGCGACGGCGCCATCACGCCGGTGATGAGCGTGCTCGGCGCCATCGAGGGGCTCCCGATCGAGAGCGACGCGGTGCTCGCCTGGCTCTGCGTCGCGATCCTCGTCGTGCTCTTTGGCGTGCAGAGCTTTGGCTCCAAGGCGATCGGCCTCGTGTACGGCCCAATCATGAGCCTGTGGTTCCTCGTCATCTGTGCCCTCGGCGTGTACAACACGTGCCGCTACTCGGCAGAGGCGGCCATCGTCGCGCGCGGCTTCAACCCGTACTGGCTCTGGCACTACTGGTTCTCGGGCACGTGCAGAGGGTACGAGGCCTGGAAGTCGCTCGCGGGCATCGTGCTGACGGTGACGGGCGCCGAGGCGCTGTACGCCGACATGGGGCACTTTGGCCGGCGCCCAATCATGACGGCGTGGTTCGCGCTCGTCTTTCCCTCGCTCGTCCTGCAGTACATCGGGCAGGCGGCTGCGCTGCTGAGGAGGCCAGAGCTGCTCGCCGACTCCGCGGGCACCTTTTACGGCTCGGCGCCGTCGAGCCTGCGCTACCCGCTCCTCGCGCTCGCGATCCTCGCCGCGGTCATCGCCTCGCAGGCGCTCCTCTCGGGCGTCTTCTCGGTGCTCTCTCAGGCGGTGCAGGCCGGCTTCATGCCGCGGACCAAGGTAGTGCACACCGACGACAAAAACAAGGGGCAGGTGTTCATCCAATCGGCAAACTTGCTGCTGCTCGCGCTCTGCATCGTACTCGCGCTCGCCTTCAAGACGTCCTCCGCCCTCGCGGGCGCCTACGGGATCGCCGTCACCACCACCTTTGTCGCCACGACGGTGCTGCTCTACCTGGTGCTGCGCCGCGCGTGGAAGTGGTGTGCCGGCTCCGCGCTGCTCGTGTGCCTCCCGCTCCTCGTCGTCGACGGGCTGCTCTGGTCGTCCAACCTGCTCAAGATTGCAAACTCGGGGTGGGTGCCGATCGTCATCGCGCTGGCCGTCTTTGGCGTGCTGAGCACGTACAACTGGGGGCGCGAGGAGGAGGCGGCGCTGCTCCTCGCCGAGTGCGACGCCGAGGAGGGCGCGGCGTCCTCCGACATCACGAGCAGCCTGAGAATCCCCGCGCTCGAGGCGGCGGTCCGGGCGTGCGGCTACCCCCGCACCAGGGCCGTCGGCATCTACCTGACGCCGTACGACTGGCGCGTGCCTCGCTCGCTCGGCACGCTGGCCGACGCGTGCGGCTCGCTCCCGGGCACCATCGTCCTGCTGAACGTCCGTTTCGAGGACGTTCCCTTTGTCCCCGCCGAGGAGCGGGTCGACCTCGCCGTCATCAGCGACGAGCTCGGTCTGTACCAGGCGTCGGTGCGCTTTGGCTACGCCGAGCCCCTCAACGCGGCGCAGGGCCTGCACGCGACCCTGGTGGCGGCCAAGCAGCCAAAGCTCTCGGCGCTCCTCGCCGCCCACGCGCGCCTGCCGACCAGGGCGTCGGCGCAGGTGGCCGCGCCCAGCGTGCACTACATTCTCAACCGGCTGCACCACATTGTCCGCCCAGAGCACGGCCCGCTCTGCCGGCTGCGCGTCTCGCTCTACAAGTGGCTCAAGCAGAACGAGTGCCCGGCCGTCGCCTTCTTCGGACTGGAGGACAACCGGACGCTGGAGGTGTGCAGCGTGCGCAGTCTGTGAGGGCGGCGTACGGCATCCGTCGAGGCATAAAACTTGCCGCAGCCTGCGGCGATGGCGGGTCGGGGAGGCGGGTGGGAGGCGGAGCGACGGGGCGGCGGCGGAGGGCCCCAGGCGGCGCGGGCTGCGCGGCGACGGACAGGCAGGTGGTGACGGAGCCGGGCCTGTGGTGGCGGCGGCGACGAGGGGGGAGTTCGAGACGGCTCTCAGAGGGTGGGGCGCACCCGGATACCGGCACTGGAAGCGTGCGCCGGGGGCGAAGCCGCCTGCGACGTGGGCGGGAACGCCGTCGGGCCGCCGGTGCGCGTGCGCGGCGCCGAACCAGCGCAGGGCTCGGCTGGATGCGGTTTGAGTGTTTGAGCGTCTGCGCATCACCGCGGCTGCAGAGGGCAGAGGCGGCCGCACCATCTCCCAGCTTGCGCCGAACGACGCGCGGCGAGTCAGACTGCGAGCCTGCCGACTCCCACTCCGTCGACGGCGCGCGGCGGCACGGCACCACCCCCTGCGCGGTCGCGTGCTGCTCGGCGAGGCTGCTGAGCACGATCAGCGCGGCGACCGCGGAGCGCTCGTACTCGTCGTCGCAGCTCTCGACGGGCGAGCTCTCGACCGAGTCGACCTCCGGCGGGGGCAGCTTGGCGAGCTCCGCAGCGTCCAGGGCGAGCGACATTCCAGAGGCTGATGAATGATGGAGGCTGTCGGCTGCCCTTTATCGTTTTTCTTTTCCGTGATATGCCGGCCTCCTACCTTAGTGTTGACCTACCTATGTCCATAAACTCACTCACTTTGACCTCACTGTGGTACACTGAAGCGAAGATCTCTCTCTCTCTGAAGCGAAGCCTGAATCCTCAGTCTCCTCATATTTCACCTTACGACACTGCACGTGACCATACACCCACTCTCGGCAAACCCACACGTGCCCCCACCGTCGCTGTACGTACGTCAATCAAAGCGCAGCTCGATGCCGCGCTCCTCGCACGCGGCCACCAGCTCAGGCTGCTTCTTGTCCGTGCTGCCCACGCCGAGCGACTGCACGCGAGGGGAGGTGCGATGAGCATTGGGCGGGGGAGGGGCGTGTGGCGAGGGGGGTGTCTCGCGCCTTCAAGCTCGGGGCGGCCCCCTCCTTGAGGGCGGCGGCCAGCACCTTGCAGCCGGCCTCACCAATCTGGTTGCTGAAGAGAGAGAGCTTCTCGAGCCGAGGCGCTGCCCCCTCCTTGAGGGCGGCGGCCAGCGCCATGCAGCCCTCGTCGCCAATCTTGTTGAACTCGAGATAGAGCTTCTCGAGCCGCGGCGCTGCCCCCTCCTTGCCGAGGGCGGCGGCCAGCGCCTTGCAGCCCTCGTCGCCAATCTGGTTCTGCTGGAGCCAGAGCTCCTCGAGCCGCGGCGCTGCCCCGCTCGCGAGGACGTCCGCCAGCTGCGCCGCCTCCGCGTCGCCCCAGCCGAGGTTGTAGATCAGCACGGTCGCCTTGCCAAACTGCTCATCGAAGGCGGCCTCGTACAGCCGCTTCACGAGCGGCTTGTCGTCCTTGCCGTTGGTGAAGCTCTTCGTCTCCAGCTCCGCCGCGAACGCAGACGGCAGCAGCGGAGGGCGCCGGCCGCCGTCCTGGGTGCAGTCACGCATGAGGCTGCTCTGCAAGTCGTACTCCACGCCGTCGCGCATCTTGCCGAGGTCGAGCGAGAGGAGGCTGACCTTGGTCAGGCTTGCCCAGGCGCTCTCGGTGGCGCACCAGCCGCGGTCAAAGTACTTGGCCACGTTGGTGCCCTCGGCCTGGTCCTCCGCCTTGTGGCCGTCCGGGAAGGAGGTCAGCCGCAGCACCCATGTCTTCGGGTGGGAGTAGAGCGTGCCGAGGCAGCCCAGCCCCTGCTTGAAGAGCGCGTTCTGCTCCTCGGTGCGCATGACGCCGTTGGCGGGGTCGGGGTGCTGGTGCAGCGAGCCGAAGTCCCAAAAGACGCCGAGCCGCGTAATGTACGGAGAGGTGAGCAGGGCCTTGAGCGCCCTTGCGACGCGGGCGAGGTTGGCTCCGCGCGGGTCGGGGTGGTCCTTGGTCAGCCACGGGTAGGAGAGCGCGGCGACGGGAAGGTCATACTCACCGGTCGCCTCGACGAGGTCGGGGAGGGAGAGGAAGGCCTCTTTTGGCAGCGCCTGGCGGTGGATGAGGACGCCGCCAGCACCCCGCCAGCAACGGGCGAGTGGAACGCCGCATACGCGACACTCAGCGAAATCGATGATCCACTGCGCGTCGAGGAGGGCGAAGGCGCCGCTCGCGAGGACCGGCTCCAGGTCGCCGCCGCCGAGCTTGCGCCACTTCGTCAGCTTCGTCTCGTCCACGCCGAGATCTGTGGCAGAGGCCAGGCCGGTGGCCGGCTCCGCTTCGGCATTGGCTGGGATGGTTGCCTCTGCCCTCGTCTCCTCGAGCCCGCTGCTGATGGCACCGGCAAGGCCGGCAAGGTCGTCGTATTCCTGCGCATGGCAGCCCATTCCGCAACGCCGATGTACACGTTTTTTCCGGCGTAACGAAGAAAGGACAGAAAAAGCTCTTCTTGCCGCACGGCTCTTCTGTGTGCCGGCACAGAGCTCCGTGCAAGCCTTCCAGCGTGATAGGAACGAGTGTATCGCTTTGACGGATCGACCGTGCTTGTTATCCACATCGATGTGACGCACACAGTGACACTTCAGACGACACACATTCTCCCACCCGCCGGGACGCAAAACGCTCTCGACGAGATCCACAAGAACGCGGCCACACAGCAAGCCGCTCGGTCGATCACGTTGCTCGCTCGATGCCGGCGAGCGCATGGCGCACGCCTTGGACGGTGGCGAAGCCAAAAACACCGATGGTGGCCATCCGCTGGCGTGAGCGGCGGCGGTCGAGACCTCACCCTTCGCGCCGACGACCCAACCTCACGCGGAACAACCCAACCCAACCCAACAACCCAACCCAACCCAAAAAGCACGATTCTCAAGTTGGGCCCTCTCCCCCCATCCCCAGGGCCTCCAGGGCTCGCACCTCAACCTCTCACAGACCAGCGCATAGCGCCATAGGACGTAGGTAGGTAGAAAGGTGAAGAAGAGGACGTATTTTCTTCTCAGAACAAGGCTGTGAACGCCGAAGTCGTAGTCACGGCAGCTTGGTCGAGACAGTGCGGGCTCTGCACTTCACGACCTCTTCGAGCGACACACGCTTTCGCGCTCGGCCGCCCATGCCAGCACGGCAGTGGCACCAGCTCGATGCGGGGCCATCTTATGCGATTCCGCTGTCCGAGGACGCGCCGGCTCTGGCCGCCGGCGTCACCAACGTTGGTCCGCCGTCCGAGCTGCCTGCCACCATAAGAATGGCTGGCGGCTCGGAGCGGCGGGCCTCGCCGCTTCAATCTCCGCTGGCGACGCACGACCTCTCCATTCGCGGGCACACGCCTGCCCGCTCCGCCTCCCCCGCAATCCGCCGCCGCCGCGTCGCGCTCCCGACCGCGCTCACCGGCCGCCGCCGCCGCCTCGGCTGCAGGAGCAGGACCGAGGCCGGCTCATCGTCGACGTCGGGACCGAACAGCCCGTCGACCATCGGCAGCCTCTCGCCGGACGTGGTCTTGGGCACTCTCAGCATCCGCGAGACGGCGCTCGGCGGCCAAGCTGCCTCTTCCCTGCCAGCGCCTCGGAGGCGCCGCCTCTCACCTTCTCCTC